TGTGCTAATAGCTAATCCGTAGTTAAACTATAAATTAAATAAAATTTTATTTTCCTTTTGGTTTGGGACTACAATAAAGGAACTACCATAAATTGTTCTAAGAATTTATTATTTTCACTACGACTATTCTTACATTTCATTGTAACAAAAAATAACCGCACTACATATTTTATAACTATTGATTAAAGATGAGTCTTACAATACATGTGGACAGCAAAGAGGAAAGACCTTGACTTTACAACTTAGATATGAACAACAAAGACCACTCTCTTAGGGATGCACCAATGATCAAGAATCTGAGTCTCCACTCTAGAGATCTTAAGTTTGAATTCTAAAATGGGTGGGGAGGGGTTTGTGACGGAGAAGACTATCTCATAATATATAACTCATTATCCGATGTATCAAAAAAAAAAAAAAGGACCAAGACCCTAAACATGGCCATGGTTATGGCCACACAAACAATTGTTAAGGTCCCACAAAAGACTACAAATATGTTTGATTTTCCAATTTTATTAGTGTATAGTCAGTTAGGGTGTTTGAAAACATTAGTTTATAGAATGATTTCAAATAGTTAAATAATAAATCTTAGTTATTCTATCAATTATCAATTAATAGTTGCAATTATCAATTAATAGTTACAGCTATCAACTGCTCCTAACAGTCAAACCAAACACACCTATCATGTTTTTGGGTAGCTACACACTTAGTTTGACACACTTTTTAATAATTGTCCAGTTTAACTATTAAAAATATAATACAAGTACAGTTGATTCAGTCGATTCTTGTTTTTTATATGTATGACTATATTTTTAAGTTTATCTATCTTTAATTTTATATTAAAACATAATAATTTTTAATAAGTGTGTTGTGCAGTATGTTGAATCGGTGGATATATTGATCAATATCCTTTTATAAAACCAAACATACTATTGGCATTTGCATTTCATTTTATGAACTGGGGATGACCTTGACTTAGAACTTCAACTAAATGTAAACATGTACTCTATTAGTGATGGAGATGGTTATGATCCACTAATTTAGAAAAGTCATAAATACTATATTATTGTGATAGTTATCGTCAAATTATTAAACATTCCCTTCAAATACGGCATATAAAAACAATTATGTTATTCTATGTTATGCAGTGGTAATTAATGGTGGAAATGCACTAATATATGATCATGCCAGTGGTTTTATCCTTTGCAGTGTGATTCCTCCTTCATCAATTTCTAAACGTTAAAAAAATAAAAAAATAAAAAAAAAGAAGAAGAAGAAAAAAGGAAAGGAAAGAAAAGCAATTATGTTAAGGGACCTTGATCTTCGTATCAGCTTTCGCTATTAATTTTTTCACTGAGACTACTTGACTTAGCATTAACCTTCAATGTACAAAACCTTTCAGGAAATTTTTTTATTAATTTATGTTCTTGCCACCAAGTTAATTAATACTTTGGAGAAGGGTATTTTTTTAAATCTGAAAGGAATAATAGAATGAAGAGACACTCAAAAGAAACTCTGAAACCTCACTCTCATTACATGTATAAAGAATAAAAAACAAATATTTTTAGGGCTTGTTTGGTTGTGCTAAGAGCTAATCTAAAGTCAAACTATAATTATATAAGTTTTTATTTTTCCTTTCGGTTTGGGACCACAATGAAGGAACTATCATAAATTGTTCTAACAAATTTTTATTTTAACTACTCATATTTTGACGATTCATTGTAACAAAAAAGTGAGTAAATTACATATT